TGTATATACTGTTGCAATTGTCCTGCTGATTAAAACAGATGTACTCTATGACTTGTAGCGGCGCGTCGAGAGTTTCATTGCAGGAATTGGGAAAAAATTGGGGCTTATTTAAAGAAGAAATGAACAGTGGCGTGATGGTCAGAGCTTCTGCTTTGCAGCACTGGGGGGGTCCCCGGTTCGCATCCCGGCCAGGTCACTATCTGCAAGGAGTTTGATTGTTCTCCCTGTGCTTGTGTGGGTCTCCTCAGGGTACTCCGGTTTCCTCCCACACTCCAGATACATGCTGGAAGGTTAATTGGCTCCTCTCTAAATTGGCCCTTTATGTATGTGAGATAGGGACCTTAGATTGTAAGCTCCTTGAGGGCAGGGACTGATGTGAATGTGCAACTATGTAAAGCGCTGCGTAAATTGTCGGCACTCTATAAATACCTGTAATAATAAAACCCTCGCAGCGGGGCTACCCCTGTACTGCACGGGTCAACTGTAGTAAGTTTATCCCCTCCCCCCTCCCCCCCCCCGCCCCCCGAAGACTCTCCACTTCACTGGCCCTTTTCTGGGTTGAATGACTACCACCATCATCCAACCCACCTGCTGTGAGCACAGGCTATCATGGACCCGCCCCCTAGGGGGCATCATCACTTCATCATCACTGCATCATCACTTCGGCCTGTTCTCAGAGTACTGAATGACACACACATGTCACAATGTGGGCACCATTCTTAACAGCACTAAGGACCATCCACCAGCCATGCTGGACAGGGAGAAGGAGGACCCTTGATGTCAAATGACCAGCTGGAGGAAGCTTGGATTTAGGGGAATGTATACAGGGGGGCTTCAGAGAGGATCGGGGGTTCCAAAACTTGGAAGAGAGCTTAATTGCACAAATTGGGAAAAATTGGGTTTTACCCAAAACCCAAAAGAGATTTGCATTATATGGCCAAAAGTCTGTGAACACTTGACCATCAAACCTGTAAGAACTTGTTGGACATCCATCCCAAAACCATTTGCCCTTATTTTGGAATTGGCCTCTCTTTGTGGTTATACCAGCCTCTGCTCTTCTGGGAATGCTTTCCACAAGATTTTGTAGGTTGTCTGTAGGGATTTGGGCCCATTTGTGAGGTCAGGAACTGATGTTGGATGAGTAGGGTTGAGGTCAGGGCTCTGTACAGGACACTTGGGTTCCTCCACACCAAACTGGTCAAAGCATGTCTTTATGGCGCTGGCTTTGCGTACCTCAACTCAATAGCTCCTATGGAATACCTATGTTCCACGGGAGTTGAGATCAGGGCTCTGTTGTGGAGGAACTTAAGTGGCCTTCACAAACTGGTCACACTGTCATGTTTAGTAGGCATGAGGTCAGGGCTCTGCAGGACACCAGAGTTCCTTCACACCATGTCTCTATGGAGCTGGCTTTGTACATAGGGGACAGTCATGTTTAGTAGGGTTGAGGTCAGGGCTCTATGTAGGACACCTGAGTTCCTCCACACCACACTGGTCACCCTATGTCTCTATGGAGCTGGCTTTGTACACAGGGGACAGTCATGGTGGAACAGAAAAGGGTCTTCACCAAACTGGTCACACCGTGTCTTCATGGAGCTGGCTTTGTACATAGGGGACAGTCATGTTTAGTAGGGTTGAGGTCAGGGCTCTGTGCAGGACACTCGGATTCCTCCACCACACTGGTCACACCATGTCTTTATGGAGCTGGCTTTGTACATAGGGGACAGTCATGGTGGAACAGAGAAGGGTCTTCAAACTTTTACCACAAGGTCGGAAGAGTATAATTGTCTAAAATATCTTTGTATACCCTTCGCTGGAAGCACCTGAACTCCATCATTGAGGATCCACATACGTGGCCGTATACCGTTATGTTGATGCGCAGAACAATGCGTCAAATAAAACCCGTGGCTTAAAGGAAAAAAAAATCTTCTTTTATTTCCCTGTAAATCATTTTTACAAGACAATAGACCTCCACTCCCAGATTTAATCAAAAAGTAACAAGTTATTGCAATATGTCAATCTAACATAAAAATGACAATTGTACTAAAAAGCGTTTAACGTCCAAACTGAAGCCGTAATAATAAAAAAAATAATAATAAATGAGATGTCATCATATTCACCCCTTAGATCTTCGGACGCTCCGTATTGCCTCTGACGCGCGTGAAAACGGATTGGAAAATAATCTGTGCCAGGAGCTGACCCCCCCTCCTCCCCCACCCCCAAAAGATGAATGTGACGGCCGTGTCAGCCGCCCTATGTGACAGACTGGTGAGAACAATGAGTTAAAACTAGTGCATGTTTAAAGTAAACTTGTCATGAGAGCCCTACAGGGGTGGCCATTGATGATCGCCTTCTTAAAATGGCTGTTATATTGACCCTCTGGCCTTGATACTTTTTGAGTCATGGACCTGAAACAAGCATGCGGGTCAGGGAAGTCAGAGGAAAGTCATAACTCCTTATCTGCGTGCTTGGTTTGGGTGACTGACTCCGACGGTTGAAGCCAGGGGACCAGGGTGACAGCCAGCATTGTAAGAAGGCGGGTCAGCATTGGCAGCCTCCAAGTGTCTCTCGTGAAAGGTTTCCTTTAACCCCACTCCAGCCACAAGGGTTTGCAATGCGTTCGCCTGATGGCAGTCGTGGGGTTAATGTAGGATACACAATGTGAAAGGTGCAACGGTGTAGATTTGAAGGTTGGTTGGCAGATCATCCCCTCCTCAAGTCATGCAGTTTGTGGGCGACGTTCTCCAGCTCGGCCTCGATGGCGGCCAGGCTCTCCAGTTCTTGTTCCTGCAGGAAAGAAAAGAAAATTAAATAAATCGTCAATTCATTTTTTTACTATGATATATCGCACGATGGTAGAAACACATTGCGCCACATTGACCAATAAGGTCTTGACGCCGCGCCATTTGCATGTCATGCGTTGCTTTATGGAAGATAAATTGCCACGATGGGAGCTACTTAGCACAGCCGGGGCCCCTGACCAGTGCTGGAGACTGCACTTGTTCTGCAGAGGCAAATGGCTGTGTATGTGTAATGCTCTGCTCTAGAAATGG